AGATTTCATTACTGGTGAGATGGATAATGAGACCCTGATTTCTCCTGTATACCTTCTGCTTCTTTCTAGTTCCTGGTTCATCCAGGACAATTTCTTCAGCTTATTTACTTTTTAAAAATATAGATTCTTTGGCCGGGCGTTGGTGGCGCACGCCTTTAATCCCAGCACTCGGGAGGCAGAGGCAGGTGGATCTCTGTGAGTTCGAGGCCAGGCTGGACCGACAGCCTCCAAACAATACAGAGAAACCCTGTCTCGTAAAACCAAAAAAAAAAAAAAAAAGAAGAAGATTCTTGTTAGGTCACTGTGACAGCCATTCTTGGTTACCAACTTATAAAACATTTGGAATTAATGAACCTCCCTCTCCCCAAATGGAAGGCACATCAATGAGGGGTTACTATTTAATTTGAAGTGGGGAGACATAATTCTAATCCACAGCAATCAGACACACTTTTAATCCAGATCTAATCTGGGCAAACCCTTCTTCTGGAAGCTACACAAGCATATGGAAGAAGGAAGCATTTACTCTTTGCCTGCTCTCCCCTCAGAGGCAAGTCCATTCCCTCACTGGCATTAGAACCTGCTTGTTTGGGATTCCAGTGTATACTGAAGACCAGGTAAGACATCCAGCCTCAAGGACCAAAAAACTACTAGATTCTTGGACTTTCTGTATACAGGCAGCCATTGTTGAATTAGCTGGACCACAGCCTGTAAGCCATGTATATAAATCTTATATACATATGCATACACAAAACAGCATACAAAAAGACACATAGAATGTATATATAGAGATTCATTCTTCATAGGTGGGGTTTTCAGTAATGCCAGTCAGCTCTGTCCCACCAGATAGCTCCCCGAATAACCACACAGAGACTTATCATTAATTATAAATGCTCTGTCAATAGCTTAGGCTTGTTACTAACTAGATCTTACTTCTTTTTTTGTTTTGTTTTGTTTTTCGAGACAGGGTTTCTCTGTGGCTTTGGAGGCTGTCCTGGAACTCGTTTGGTAGTCCAGGCTGGTCTCGAACTTACAGAGATCCACCTGCCTCTGCCTCCCGAGTGCTGGGATTAAAGGCATGCGCCACCAACGCTCGGCTTAGATGTTACTTCTTAAATTAGTCCATATTTCTTATCTATGCTCCACCACATGGCAGTACCATTTTCAGCAAGGCATGTTTATCTTCTGCTTCCTCTGTGCCTCCTGTAACTCTGCCCTTCTTACCATCATCCTCTTAGGCTGTGTCTCCCAAATAACCTCTTCTTGCCTAGCTATTGACTAGTCAGATCTTTTCCAACAATGAGAGCAACGCATCTTCACAGTGTATAGAAAGACTATTCTACAGTAACTCTGTAGTTCTGTTATGCAATAGAACTCTGATAGTCACCTGTAACTATAATCAGTTATCAACTATTGTAGGCCAGTTCTGGGTCCCTGCAACTGTGTCTCAAAGGAAGAAGAAAGAAAGAAAAAATATGAAGCTAGCTATCCTTTAAACAAAAGCCACCCAATTGACTATCTCTAGTCCTGCTGATAAAAATAATTATTCCCCTAAATGTGTGACATGAAATCTACCAGCCAAGGAAGCCACACCTTTAATCCAACCAAGCACTCAGGAGAGTGATCCAGAGACAGGGACCAAAGTAATGTCCTCGACAATTTGGTCTACATTTTCGTGAGTCCAGAATAGTCAGGACTATGTAAAGAAACCCAGTTTCAAGAAGAAAATGAAATTAGTTAACATTGTGTTTAATTTGGTTCTGATCATTTTTAATTGATAAAGGGTTTGGAAGCTGGTCTAGCATACACCACCAGATATCTGTGCAAAATTCCAGTCTCAGCCTCCTGAGATGGGGATTAAAAGCTCCTGTTACCCTCTGTTGACACACCCTGTAATCCTGAGGGGCTGGGCCAGATTCAAGTTCTACCAAGAGCATTCATTATAAAGGGTCAGATCTTCACAGAGCTTTCAGATTTCCAGCAATCTAGGAAGGCGAGCAGAGCTCTCCCACCACACTGAAGAATCTGTGCACCCATCAGCACAGTTGCCTGACCCTGTGGGCCCACAACAGATCTCAGGAGGGAAAAGGCAGGTGAGTGGGGGCGGGGAATCTAGTAATGTGTTTTGACGATGATGGCTAGGGAATATCAGTCTTTGAATTCATCTCAGAAGCTATCTAGCCTTAAAGCTATCCTCTGGCATGTTTCTCTACTCCACATGGATGTGAAATAAACTGGGACCCATAGGGAGCCTCATGTGAGGTGTTGGTATGTGTTCAGGGTACAGTCAAGGACACTCCGGTCAACGTCTTCAGTGTGAAATCATCTCTTCTATGTGCAGAAACACAATAGGTATCAAACTTCATGTCCTTGAGTTTACTTGCTTTCAGTTTGTATAGGCAGATACTTTTTGTTTTTTTAATTTTTTTCCAGGCAGGGTTTCTCTGTGGTTTGGGAGGCTGTCTTGGAACTATCTCTTGTAGACTAGGTTAGTGTCGAATCACAGACATCCAACTGTTTGTGCTTCCTGCGTGCTGGGAATAAAAGTACACTCCACGAACGCAAGGCTTTAGGCAGATATTTCTTAATTCAAGACTAGCCCAACAATTTGTCTAGTGAGGGATGAGCCTGAACTACTGAATCTCCATGTAATTCTCCAAGAAGAGCCTAGATCAGAGATATCCATCAGGCTAAAACAGGGTCCTGTGAAAGGAAATGGAAAAGTGTTGGTTGACATCTTTCCTCTGATCCCCTGCTATGTCTGCAATCCAAGTGGTGTTTATTAGAAGACACTAAAGTGGAATTTTATTAGCGGTTTGGTGATGGGAAGCGGTTTGGAGAGAACTTAAGATAGAGTGGGAGAGGTCCTGTCAAAGAAGCGGTCCTTCTGATTCTTATCTGTCCCTTCTAAACCGGGCACTTGCAGTATTCACTGCTGGTTTTCCTGATCTTCAGAGCAAGTTCCAAGAAAACATCCAACGGCATACAGAGAAATTCTGCCTCTAAAAATCCTAAATTGAATAAAATTAATAAATAAAAACTAAAAAAAACACAACCATTGATACATTCACAATAGGTTTACAAAGGATAGAAATGAAGTCTTCAGTATTCAGCAGGGGGCATTCAATCTGAAGCCAGCCACACTAAGGTCAGGAGATCCATTCTGGACCACACTGAGTATAGGAATCAGCTTGGTGCTTGGTGAAGAGCTTGTGAACCACCCATCAGCCTGTGTGGTAAAATCTAGTGGCCAGCTACTTTCGTTTTCTGACTTTCACCTTGAAGTTTGAAGCCCAATATCAGTTCTGGGTGTTTATTTGCTGTATTACCTTTAAGAAATGTGTTAGATTTTTGTACTCTACTGTCTAGGTGGCCACGCCTTTAATCCCAGAAAGAGCAAGAGGGATCTAGAGGCAGGCAGATCAGTTTGAAGACCTGAACAGTTCAGTCTAAATTGTAGTGAATTTCAGCATGTCCAGCGTCATGCAAAACAAACAATGAAAGAAGGAATAAACAAAACACCCCATGTCTCAAGAAAGAAATGGAAGTTTGTTGACCTTGTATTGCTTTGTTTCTTTGATGATTTCAAAGTGAGCCTGAGATCTCAGAACTTGTGCTTCCCTCCGGTCTCAGACTCCTGAGATGGGGATAAAAATCTCCAGTTACACTCTCCTGACACACCCTCTAATCCTGATAGGCGGGGACAGATTAAATCTCTCCCAAGAGCTTTATAAAGGGGTAGACTAGCCGAGCATCCTCAGACTTCTTGAAGCCCTGGGGGAGGACAGAACTCTCCTTCCACACTGCAGACTCTATCACACACACAGGCGCCCAGAGAAGCCTAGTTCCCTGAATCTGTGGAACACAATTCATGAGGAAAAAGGAAGGTGAGTGGTGGTGGGTGGGGAGTGGATCCTGACTTGTGTTTTCAGGAAGATGGCTGTGGGATGTCAGGCTTTGAAAACATTTCAGAAGCTCTCTAGCCTTAAAGCATTCTCCAGACATTAAGCTGTCCTCTGTCATGTTTCTCCACTCCACACGAATGTGAAATGAAGCTGGACTAACAGGGAGTCTCATGTGCGATGCTAGTATGTGACCTTGCATAGACAAGGTCAGGAGTTCACCCACCGACCTCACTGTGAAGGCATCTCTGATACCTTCAGAGACACAATAGGCACCAACTTTATGTCCTTGGGTTTACCTCCTGTTAACTTGTTTAGGCAGATACTTCCATTTTCTCTCACGGATTCTTGAGAGAGGGTTTGGGTTTTTTTTTATTGTTTTGGAGGCAGTCCAGGAAATGCTCTGTAGAACAGGCTGGCCTGGAACCGACATAGATCTGCCTGCCTCTGCCTCCTGTGTTCTGGGTTTAAAGGTGTGAAGCACAAACGCCCCCAGGGGCAGATACTTCTTAATCCAAATGAGAACAGCAAAGAGTAGCCTAGGATGGCTTGGAAATGCTGAATCTGCCTGGAGCTCTCCCACAAAAGCTGGGATTGTAGATGGCCAGCAGGCTAAGCCCAAGTCATGAGACAGGAGAAGGAAAAGTGTTGGTTGACATTTTCTTCTGTTACTTGTCTATGTGGCAAGGCCAGCTGTTTTTTATTAGGACAGTGTAAGGTTGACTTTTAGCTGTAGGGTGATGGGGAGGAGTTTGGGGAGAATTCGAGTTTCGAGGCCATGGAGGTCCTGTCAAAGGACAGGTCCTTCTGACTCTTATCTTCTCTCCCACTGGGGGCACACCTGCACTATTCACTGCTGGCTTCCTGGTTCAACTTAAAAACCATGCTTTCCATTGGTGACAATGTACCAGCCTCTGTAGATGTGGAAAGACGAGTCCACTGTGTGGCTGATGCCACAAAGGGCTGGTTCCTTAATCCAGGCCCAGATGAGAGACAGAGATTTCTAATGGATGAAAATGTGTAACATTTTATTCATTCATTTGTGAACAGAGAAACAAAACCCAATTCGATAGTTTGAGAAACACCTGAGAAGAAGGCAGGATGGACCGGAGTGGTAATCAGGAAGACCAAAGATCCTCAGGTAAACATGGGAAATCTGTGATAGAAACTATAATGTGTTTGTGTGTATGTGTTTGCGCGCGTGCCTGTGCCCGCGTGCCTGTGCAGGTGCGCATGCGTGTGCACGTGTGTGTTCTGGGATTTATGGGTTTCCTCAAGAGTCAAGATGGGGACAGATGTGACCGGGATAGAGGGGCAGCCAGTGGTGCCAGACACCTGACTTCTTTTCTCCCAGCTGTCCATAATCTCCAGGAATGAGAGAGGGTTCCTGGTGGTGGCTTGCGTGTTTCCAGTGTGTGTGAGGACAGAGTTCGCAGTCGGCACTAGGCCTTTGAGTGCCTCTTCTCTGCTGAAGTTTAATTTGTGAAACTGAAGACACCTACACTTTCCCAGGGAGGGCACTGCTTGGCACTACGGGTAGGGTGGATGCCGAATTCTGGACCAGAGAGCAAGTGTTGACAATAAGTTGTTGAGTGAGTGAGGCTACTTGTGGTGGTCAGTGTGCAGGAAGACTCCCCATGGGGAGTTCAGTGCTCAGGTGCATGCTGTCCCAAGTACTGACCCCATCCCTCTGTCGATACAGCTCCTTCCTCTAGCCGATGGACTGATGGCGAAATCAGGATCTTCCTGATGGAGTGGGAAGTCGTGGAACAGGAAGTGGGCCACCCAGGCAGGAAGATCCACAAGAAGACAAGGGCTCTATGCCAGCGCCTCTACCAGAGGGGCCTGAAGAAAACGTGGAAGAGCTGTTTTGACCTGCTAGTGAATCTGCAGAATGTGCACAGGATCTTGTGCAGCGAGAGACCAGGAAACGTCCCATTATTCTCACCATATACTCAGGCCCTTTACAGGATCCTGGGCCCCAGACCCCAGGCAATCCACTTCCCAGGTTAGTCCCTTGGGGATAGACTGCTGAGAGCCCCAGAGTGTGGCATCAGCTGGCCTGTCTCTGGTGAGCACAGAGCAGAGCACAGTATGCAGGCAAGCCCCATTCCCACAGGCGTCCACGGCACAGGGCAGAAAATTCTGGACTCTGTGTGTGTGTGTCTGATATGTCTTTCACCCCAGGGAACGGAATGGGGACATGTTCACAGCTGATCCTGACACACAGGCCAGGCAATTGTGAAGTGGTGCTTCAGGGCCTACCCGGCTGCCATGCTTATGGTCTCTCTGTGTTTCTTCTCCTCCTAGGACCTATATATGATGGAGCAGGTTATCCCTTGGTTCCCATGGAACCTCAACCTCCAATGGTGCTGCCACATCCTCTGTACCATCCTTGGGACAATGGCTTCCAGGTTTCCCCCGGGGAGCATCAATGGACCCCATCGGCCATGTACTCCAATGGGTACTCAGGGTTTCCACAGTGGGACACCTGGGATGCCAGCTCTTATTATCCAAGCCCACAACTGTTTCCTCCCTCTGTCCCCGGAGATACCAGCATACAGGACCCGAGTTCTTCGTCTTATGATCATATCCAAGGCCCTCAGTGAACAAAAGAGTGGATTCTTCTGTGCTGGTAAATATATGAGAATCATTATGTGTTGTATGTGCATGCATCTTTGTCTACCTCCTCAGGGAAGACAAGGTGGAATCAAATAAAGGTCTTTAAAGTAGCTCCTGCCTCATCCTTGTCATTTCAGTGTGGACCGTAAGCATAGAGGGGCAGGGGATGTGGTGTTGGTGGAGGTTCATTCCTGGGTGACCTGGGACAGGCCCTGTGCAGTCTATCTGCTTCTGACTCCTGGAATGCAGTCCCCTACACCGCAAGGGGAACCTCTGCTTCATGGGCAGCTGCTCAACACTGTTTTCTTCCTGGAGCCCTCTAGCTGTAGAACTCAGGGTCTGTGTTTCCCAGACTCAAATTCTCCAGAGTGCAAGGAAAACCTGTTGGAACTGCATATGGAGTTGTATGCTGGAGTTGTTTTACATCGGGTAAGGGAATAGGGATTGTGTCATGTTTAAGCTACAGATTTAAGAGAATGTCCACCAAGGAACATGTCACTCTGACTCAATCTAATATGCTTTTGCACCTTCAGCAGGCATAGTTGAATCATATCAGGCATAAACATGACCTGGTCATGTATATAAACTGTCTACCATTCAGGGTCAGATAGTGTTATTGCCATTATGCTAACACACATGAGAGTTATATCACATAATCACACTTCACATGTAAGTATGAGCTGGGTAATGGTTCAGAAATTAATCATGTCATAAGGTGACACGAATGTGTATCAAATTATCAAATGGTGGACAGGTGGTGGCTCTTTGTGCCTGTCTATTCGACAATTAGGTAAAACACCCAATACCTGGGCATCTAGGACAGGGAGCCTGTTGATCCCATGAGGAGGAAGTGGTGGGGGAAGTCCTTCGGTGTATACTATTTATTGGTATAAATAATGCCATGTTGGCCAATAGGAAACCACATAGTTGGGACCTAGAGTGTAGGAGGATTCTAAGGAATGTAGTGAAGGGAGTCTTTGAGATGTGATCCCTGGATGAGAGAAAACAAAAAATATATTATACAAACATATATATATATATATTATATTTGTGATTATTGGTTAATGATTATCTCCAAGGTAGCAGATTAGAAACCGTAGAAAGGCTCCACCCATAGAACTAGGATTGGACTGGCTGCCTGTGCTAGGGGTCTACTGCTGTGTCTTCTATCCCAGTGGCAGGAGCCAACTCTCCATAGCCTCCTGCCCCATCATCGGGTCCAGGTGAATCCGGGCCCATTTCTGGACTGCCTGCCTGGACCTGGGCTCTGCCACTGAGTATTCCATCCTGGAAGAGGCGGCAGAAGCCAAGGTACCTAGTTTCCTGCTCCACCCACGGAACTAGGACTAGACCAGCTGCCGGAGCTTGGGGACTGCCATGATGGCTTTCATCCCAGAGGCAGGAGCAACCTCACACCTGCCTCCTAGTCTCCTGCTTTACCCAAGTGACTAGGAGTATCAGGTCCTCTCTCCAGGCCACTCTGCTGTCCCTGGGTTATACCTTTGGGGCTCCCAAACATACCAGTGGGATCCAAAGGACCCTAGCATCCTAGTCTTCTGCTCCACCCACAAGACCAGGAAGTAGCGAGCTACCAAACAGTGGACTTGCCTACACCCACAAGAAGGGAACCCTGGTCCCACACCCATCAGGAGAGGAAGATACACCCCCTGGAACACATTGCAAGAACAGATGGGAAGGAGACAACATGAAAACACAAGGAGTAACAGAAAAACCAATATGACACCCCCGGAGTCCAGAGACCCTATTTCAACAACACTGGACCACCACAACACGAATGACATACAAGAGAGTGACATACAAAACAACTTCATGGAAATGATAGAGGCCCTGGAAGAGGATATGAGAAAATCCCTTACAGAGAGGGAAGAAGAAACAATCCAAAAATGCAAGAAACTGAACAAAAGACAAAACAAAACTTGCAAGGAAAAATTCAAATGGTGCAAGGGCTGAAATCTGATGTAGAAACAATAAAAAAACACTGTTTGAAGGAATGAAGGAATGCTGGGAATAGAAAGCTGGGAAAACGGTCAGGTACCACAGATGCAAGCATAACCAATAGAGTAAAAGAGACAGAAGAGAGAATCTCAGGTATTAGAAATGCACTAGGAGAATTAGATTCATTGACCACAGACAATCTTATAACACAAAATATGCTGGAAATATGGGACACCATGAAAAGACCAAACTTAAGAATAATAGGTGTAGAAAAAGGTAAAGAAACCCACCTCAAAGGGACTGAAAATATAATGAACAAAATGATAGAAGAAAAATAAAGAAAGACATGTCAATGAAGGTGCAAGAAGCTTACAGAACACCAAGTAGTTTGGAACCGCCCCCAGCAAAATCCTCTCACCACATAATAATCAAGACCCCAAAACATACAGAATAAAGAAAGAATATTAAGAGCAGATATGGAAACAGTACAAGCTGCATTTAAAGTCAAATGTATGTGAATTACACCCCACTTCTCCATGGAAACTCTGAAAGTCAGAAGGTCCTGGATAGATATTCTACCAACATTAAGAGTCCACGGATGCCAGCCAAGACTGCTATACCCAGCAAAGATTTCAATCAATATAGATAGAGAAAGTAAGATATTTCATGGCAAAACCAGATTATAGAATAAATATCCACTACGTCACCCATTCAGAAAATTCTGGAAGGAAAACAGCAACTCAAGGAAGTTAACTACAGCCAGGTAAACCTAGGCAATAGATGACCCCACTTTACCAACAGCTAAAAGAAAAGTGGTGGAAATCCACATACAATTACACCAAAAACAACCATTCCAAACAAACAAGACTGAGCTAACAATGGTCATTAATTCCCTCAATGTTAAGGGTCTTAACTTGCCCATAAAAACATATCGGTTAACAGAATGTATTTGAAGACAGAATCCATCCTTCTGCTGCATACAAGAAACACACCTCGACTTCAAAAACAGAAATTATTTCAGAGTTAAGTGTTGGGAAAAGATTTTCCAATCAAATGTGCCCAAGAAACAAGCGTGGGTGGGGTAGCACTCCCAACATCTAACAAATTAGACTCTAAACTAAAATCAATCAAAAGAGATGAAGGAGGTCACGTCATTCAGCACAGATAAAGTAACAATTCTGAACATCTATGCCCCAAATTCAAAGGCATCACACTCGCCAAAGAAACATTACTGAAACACAAATCACATAACCACTCGCACACTCTTGTAGTGGGAGACTTCAACACTCCACTCTCACCACTAGACAGGACCACAAGACAGAAGCTTAGCAAGGATACAAAGGACCTAATGGAAGTTATGACCCAATTGGGTTTAACAGACATCTACAGAAACTCCACCCAAACACAAAAGGATACACCTTCTACTCAGTTCCCACAGAACATTCTCAAAAATCAACCACATACTTGGCTCAAAGCAAACCTCAACAGGTACAAAAAATTGGAATAACTCCATGTATCTTATCAGACCATCATGCCTTAAAGTTAGAATTCAACAATAACAAAAATCGCAGAAAACCTGCAAACTCATGGAAATTCAATAATACGCAATTGCACCACTCCTGGGTAAAAGCAGAAATAAAAAAAGAAATTAAAGGCTTCCTAGAATTCAATGAGAATGAAAACACAACATACACAAACTTATGGTACGCTCTGAAAGCAGTGCTGAGAGCAAAGTTAATAGCACTAAGTACCCACATGAAGAAACTGGCGAATGGTCACACTAGAGAATTAACAGCACAGCTGAAAGCTCTAGAACAAAAGGAAGCAAACTCACCCCAGAGGAGCAGATGCCAAGCAATAATGAAACTGAGGTCTGAAATCAATTAAGTAGAAACTAGGAAAACGATACGAAGAATCAATGCAACAAAAAAAGTTGGTTCTTTGAGAAAAATCAACCAGATAGACAAACCTTTATGAAAACTGACCAAATGGCAGAATATGAACATTCATATTTACCAAACCAGAAATGAAAATGGGGACAAAACAACGAACCCATGAGAAAAGTCAGAGAATCATCAGGTCATACTTTGAAAACAGGTACTCCACAAACATCGAAAATTTAAATGACATGGACGACTTCCTGGATAGCTATCAAGAACAGATAAGTAATTTACATAGACCTATAGCCCCTTTGGAAATAGAAGCAGCCATCAAAACTCTCCCAACCAAAAAAAGCCCAGGGCCAGATGGTCTCAGTGCAGAAATTTACCAGAAATTCAAAGGGCAGATTATACTAATTCTCCTCAACATATTCCATGCAACAGAAGCAGAAGGGTGTTTGCCAAACTCGTTTCCCGAGGCTTCAATAACTAAGAAAGAGAACTTCAGAACAATATCCCTCATTAACATTGATGCAAAAATACTCACTAAAATACTGGCAAATCGGGTGCAAGAACACATCAGAAACCTCATCCCCCATGATCACACAGGCTTCATTCCAGGGATGCAGGGATGGTTCAGCATATGAAAATCCATCAATGCAATCCACCTTATAAAAAAACTGAGAAACAAAAATCTCAAGATCATCTCACTAGATGATGAAAAAGCCTTTGATAAAATCCAACAACCCATCATGATACAGGTCTTGTAAATATCTTGGTAAACAGGAACATACCTAAACATAATAAAAGCTATATACAGCAAACCAAAAGCCAATATCAAACTGAATGCAGAGAAACTCAAGGCAATTCCTCTAAGATCAAAAACAAGGCAAGGCTGTCCCCTCTCCCCATAACGCTTCCATATTGTACTAGAAGTTCCAACTAGAGCAATAAGACAACAAGAGCTGATCAAGGGGATACACTTTGGAAAGGAAGAGGTCAAACTTGCACTCTTTGCAGATGATATGGTAGTTTACTTAAGTGACCAAAAAACTCTAGCAGAGAACACTTACAGCTGGCAAACACCTTCAGCAATGTGGCAGGATACAAAACCAACTCCAGAAAATGAGTAGCCCTACTATATGCAGACT